AAAATGGATATCTACCTGCAGAACAATGAAGCAAGACCCTTACCTTACTCCATACACAAGAATACATACAAGGTGGATTTATTCAAGGACACAAACACAGAGGAAGCACATATTGACAAGTGGGAGATACTGAGGTAAAACACCTAAGGACCCCAGAAGACTTCACTAAGAGAGTGATAAGAGAACCCACAGACTGGGGAAATATCTTTAGCAATGGCACATCAGACAAAGGCCTTATTACTATGATCTACAATATTCTGCTATCCTACAATAAGAAAAACAAAAAACAAATAGCCCACTGAGGAGGTGGGCAAAAGACCTGAACAGAAGTTTCACAAGGGCAGACATCTGAATGGCCAATAATCATATGAGAAAATGTTCCTGATCATAAGCCATAAGGGAAATGCAAATTAAAACAACTATGAGATACACAAAGATAGCCCAATTCTAAAAATCAGAAAGCAACAAGTTTTAGAAGGGTTGTGGTGAGATAGGAATGCATAGCCATTATGGGAATCACTTGGTGATACCTAAAAAAAAAGGAAATTCAGCTACCATATGACCCAGCAATCCCCCTTGTGGCCATATACCCAGAAGTAGTAAGAAACAGACCATGACCAGACATATGCATTCCAATGTTCATCACGGTGCAATTCACTATCCCAAAGAGTTAGAAACAACCTAAATTTCCATCAACAGATTAATGGATTAAAAAACTCTGGTACATACATATAATAGAGCACTACACATCCCTAAAACCAGTGATGAACTCATGAAGCACATCATTTCATGAGAAGAGTTGGAGGTATTTATGCTAAGCGAAGTAAGTCAAGCACAAAAGAACAAGTACAACATGAGTCCACTGAGGAAAGCTTAAAAAGTACAATAGGCATAGGGTAAAAGCTAGTAAATGCATAAATTCCTGGGGCAGGGTCCAGACACTTTGGCAGGGGTCAGACCCAACCCAGGGAAGCACATGGCAGCCAACTAAAAAGGTGGGGGGTGGGAGAAAAGGGCAGTAGGGAAACAGGGCACTAAACCACCCACAGGGAGGGTATTGTTTATGTCTCCACAGGAAAGGAAGAGAGGGACCAGAGCTCATCCTGGTGTGCAAAGCCTTGGGGGTAACATACCAACAGAGAGGACTGTAGGGCCAGCCCCAATTCCAGCTATGTTGACCCCCCTCCCCAGAAAAATGCAATATAGAGGACAGCACTGAAAATATAGTCCCGGGAGAGTGGCGGGTCTGCCCAGACCACACAGGAGCAAACTAAGAGGGAAAGAAAGAGAAAGAGAGAGTGTGGATCGCATCCTGGCTCACGAAGCCTTGAGGACGACATCCCTGCTCAGAGCAGTCCATGGATGGAAAGGACCATAGGGCTGGCCCCACTAAAAGGCACAAAGTCCCCTCACTGACCGATAGCACTACGGAAGACAGCACTGGAGACACAGTTTGGGAATTGAGCCCTGTCTGTTCTCCCTACACAGGGGTGAAACACAAAGGGAACGCAACAGAGCAGCAAGTGGAGCAAAGCAATGATGTCCCTGAGAAATCCCCAAAATAGACTTCTGACTTGGAGGTCAGGGGTGATGGGGAAACGGGACAGGCTTGGCACCTCGAGACCCGATTGGAAAACATTTATAAGGCTTAGCAGACATACCTGGAACTATTTTCCCATATAAAATGGGCAGGATAAATAACCCTGAGAAAATAATGTGTCTGACAGTTCTGGGGAGGACATAGGCGAGAAGGAGGTGAGAGAAAGGGAGCGGGGAGCCAACAAACCCAGGGACAAGGGACAACAAGTGATCTAAAATCGATGGCAAAGAAGATGGAGAATACCTGGTGGAGTTTGGTCAAGTGAAATGTAGCCAAGAGGAATTACTGAGAGCTGAATGAAGGTTGAACATGAGAGTGGGACAGGAGGAAAGTAAAAGGAAATAGCGGAAATAACTAGAAGGCAAAATATTTTTATAGAGATATAAATATAGGAATCTATATTTGTAAGTATATTAATATATGTAAAGATAGAGATATAGGTCTTAAGTATTAGTGTAGCAGACAGACATTGGGCCTCTACCCAAGTCTTTCCTCAATGCAAGAATACTTTGTTCTAATAACCTGACATTCTGTGATGCTCACCTTCCCAACATGATCACTGAAGACAAAATGTGTGCATAAGCAAATAAGGTGACGGGAGCTGATAGTGCCTGGGTATTAAAAGATATAGCATCTGTGGTCTTAAAGACTTGAAGTTAAACAAGCTGCCATGTAGTAGGGAAGCAACAAAGTCCACATGAAAGAAGCACACCAACCCGTGTGATCACAAGGTGTCGATGGGATCAGGTATCAGGCATCAGAAGACCCAAAGCCCATCTGTAGACAATTGGACATCACCTCACAGAAGAGCCACAAGGAAGGGACAAGTCAGCCAGGATGCAGCAGACTGTGTAAGACATTATAATAATTTATAATTGATATAGATTGTTGTAAGAGCTGTAAGACACCCCAAGAAAATGATTTATGTTTAAAAAGAAAAAACAAAAAGAACAGATTTTATACAGTGAACACTAATGGCAGAAGCTAGATCTGATGAGCTGTGGGAGGGTATCAAGAAAGGAAAAGACAGGAAAGGAAGAATAGATCAAAGTGGATGTCAGAAAAGACCCGGAAACTGCTCTAAATCTTAAGAGTAGCTAAAGCAAATGGAAGAAAGGATGAAGTAAAAGCTGAATAGAACATTTCAAAGTGCCCCTAGACAAGATAAGGTCAAATATAATGAAAGTGAAAAGAGCTATAGTTTAGAAAACCAAAGGGAAGAACAGGCTCTTAAGCATATCTTAAGCTGAAAGATCTAAAGAAAAAAAATGTCAAGCCATGAGTTGCAATACTGAAAGATTCTATAAGCAAAATATTGAATGATTCAGGAAACATCAAAAGGAGTTGGAAAGAATACATTGAATCACTGTATCAAACAGAAAAAGTCTGCATTTAACAATTTCAGGAAGTAGCATATGAGCAAGAACCCATGGTACCAAAGAAAGACGTTCAAGCGGCACTGAAAGCATGTTCCAATTAAGCAAGGCGCCAGGAATTGATGGAATACCAGCTGAAATATCTCAAAAACCTGATGAAGCCCCAGAAACACTCATTTAGGCCAGGAAATTTGGAAGAGGGCTACTTGGCCCAATGATTGGAAGATATCCATATATATGTGCCCATTCCAAAGAAGGTAACCAAACAGAATGCTCAGATTATAGGGTAATGTCATGATACATGGAGAAATGGGTGAAGTTGTCAAGGATCTTGTCTTGCTTGGATCCACAATCAGTGTTCCTAGAAGCAGCAGTCAAGAGATCAAAAGATACACTGTATTTGGTAGATCTTCTGCATAAGGCCTCTTTAGAATATTGAAACACAAGGATATTACTTTGAAGGCTAAGTTGTGACTAACCCAAGTCATGGTATTGTCCATTGCCTCATATGCATGTGAAATTTAGAAACTGGGAAAGGAAGGCCACAGATGAATCAATGCATTTGAACTGTGGTGCTGGAGAAGGACATCGAAGTAACATGGCTGCTAAAAGGGCTAGGAATCTGTCTTGAGAGACAGTGCTCCTTAGAGGCAAGAATGGTGAACCTTCATCTTACATAATTTGTAGATGTTGTCTGGAGAGATCAGTTCCTGGAGAAGGACATTGTTAAAGTAGAAGGGTGGGGGGAAATTCAAAGGCCCTTAAGGAAGTGGCTTGACACAGTGGCTGCAACACTGGGCTCAAGCATAGGAACAATTGTGCGGATGGCACAGGACTGGGCAGTATTTAATTCTGTTGTGCATAAGGTCCCTATGTACTGGATCCAATTGGAAGGCACCTAGCAACACAACACAATAAATTATAGTAGCATATTTACCTATATGATTATTTATTAAAGATACCTCAGTGTTACAAGTTCTAAACTCAGTGGTCTGAATTCACATACATGTTATATATCTTTGATCCCCTCTAAAGAGATTGAGCCCTCCATGTGGCTTTCTGAGCATCTTCTCACATGAGCCAAAGAACTATATTCTGGAACACTGGAAGTAATGCTTGTAAGCATTCAAGTAGGCATCAAGGAACAATAGTTATGTTTATGAAGTAATTATAATTTCCAATTCACTTCCAATTTCTTCTAACACACCAGTGTCTAACGACAGTACATTTATATACTGTTTTATAAGAAATGATGGAAGACACCAGTGATCAGCTACTTGACAATTTTCATTACAATAGAGGCATATATCAAAACCTATGATCTGACCTGTTGTATGAGACTACTCCACTTAATCAAATATTGGCTGCGTTTTCCGATGTCTTAACATCTCTGAAATTCATGCACATGTAGCTACGTAAGCACTTTAGTTACAAATTTCTGGGAAGGCCAATAAATGCCCAATTGCAGGGTTTCTTTGACTCAAACTAAAGTTTCAGACCTGTGGTGTATATTTTAAAAATAAATAAATATACTATGCACAAATAATAGTTTTTTAAAAAAATTTCTAATGCTAAAGAATGTTTGGTGATCCCTTCAAGGTTTGCAAAAGCAATTGAATTTTTGAAAAATCATGGTCTTTAAATTTTGCAAGCAGTTATCTGCACTTCTTAATTTTGTTATTGGGACAACTAAATGAGGAGGAGGGGATATTTTCTGTCATCCTATCATACAGATTAAAATAGCATCCTGTGTTAAAGGATTTGATATTAATTTTGTGCATAAGAAATAGAGCTAGATGTTCTAACTTCATTACTGCATGCTTTTATCTGAATACAAAGGAGAAATGTGCCAGCGCTGGCCTTTGAGCGTTGGGTTTTTGATTATCTTAGTCAGTTGTAGCAAACCCTCCTGATGTCATAAAAGCCTTGAGAATGTGGCCTGTCATGAACCCATCCTTATGGATTGACCATGGTGAACTAGCAGCATGCGTATGCCAGGCTGTGTAACTCCAGGCTTTCCTCAGGACAGTGACCTGCTGGACCAGCGGAAATGCTGCTTTACCGTGCAATCTGAGTCTGGGGAGGACCTCTACTTCTCCGTGGAGCTTGACTGTGACCTCACACAGTGGGAGCGAGCCTTCCAAACGGCAACTTTCCTAGAAGTGGAGCGGATACAGGTGAGGGCCTATGCAGTGTTAGGATCTGTGTGCCCCAGAGGTTAATGACCATTACTAGAGAGTTCCAGTGTAATTTCAAATGAATGTAAAACTAATTATTTTACTCTTACTCAGCTACATTATACAAGTCCAAACGCATTGTTACTAGGGTCCCCGTTAATCTCCTGCACAGGTTTATTACAAAACAAAACAAAACAAAATGAAAACAAGCTTTAAAAAAAATCTTTGGGTTCAGTGGATGGCGGCAGACAAATTCTCCAATATTTTGTTTAGTCTTACTAGGGAAGCTTAAATAATGTGCCCTAGGAAGACATTGGCTTGTAAGGGGATCTGCCGGGGCAATGAAATTCAGTGCAGAGAGGTTCACTCATACAGTTCCTGATGGAGTTGCTATGTGTCTGATAGATTTTCTTGATGGCGCAGCATGGCCATAGGGGCTTATGAAAAAAAGTTTTAGGAAAATGGAAAACTGCCTTGGTGAGGAAGAGCCATGAAAATGTGTGTGCGTGTGTGTGTGTGTGTGTGTGTGTGTGTGTGTGCGTGTATTCCCCTCATCACCACCATAAACTTGTTTATACTTCAATGATACAAAATGCTGTCCTGTGAGAATTTCATTGGTAAATGTTACCCCTCCTACCCTACAGCCCTGATCTTGCTACTTCGGCTTTATTTTTTTCCATTAAACTGAAAGAATATTTCAAAGGAACAGGATTGGTGACCCTGACGAATGCCACAATTGCTATTTTGAGGTAGTATAAATGGAAGAGCCCTGAATTATTTAGGGGAAGGGTTAGAGAGAAAAGAAAATAACACCTCCCAAAGCGTATCAAACTATGACCTATGGAGGAGATGTAATAGCTTCACATTTTTGTATTTGTGTGTTCTATGAATATTCTATGGTTTTGTTGCAATACTTCCTTACTTCAGTTTAGTGACATCAGGTTGATGCTGGTTCATTGCAAACCTAAAGGACAACATAGAGCTGTCCCTGGGGGTTTCCAAGTCGCCTTTGCAGGAGGTGAAACCTCATCTCTCTCCGATGGAGCAGCTGTGGTTTTGAACTGCCAACCTTGCACTTGGCAGCGCAACATGTAACCACAGTGCCACCAGGGCTTCTTTTTGACTTACCATGATATGAATATTGATTAAAATTAATATCTTCAAAACGTATTATTTTCTACCATTCACCAAAAATGTACTTATAATCTTAATTGAGAAATGCTTGGATTTCAATCTAATATAGGAGATACTCAATTTCAGGCTCTTAGTTTATTTTATTATTATTATTTTAAGCTCCTTGTTTATAAAACTATTTCCTATTCACTCAAAGTGACTCTTTGGATCCTGCATGAATGCCTCCCTTCTCTTACTCTGCTTCTTCTTTCTAGAAACCTTTATGACAGCCATTCAAAACCACACATAATATTTGAAGGTGTTTTCAAGTCATATCATTTTCAAAACTTTGAAAAATTTTGAGCCTATCCTGCACACTACTTACCACAAATCCTTTCACAAGTACCTTGTACAAACTCTTTCATCTGTTCAGTTTTGAATACCAGAGTTATTTTCCTTTGTCTATTTCCTTACATCTGCTCACACACCTCCTTGTACTGGTGTAGCATTATTCCCCACACTAAATTACGTATTGTTTGAGTTTTCTTTTTTTCTTTTTCTACCAGTGGAATATTATTTTTTCACATAACAGGTATTTAATAAATATTTGTTGATTGTATTTCTAAACCATGTAGACGGCAATTCATACATCCCTTGTCACTACAATTCTCAGGAGCTTGCCTTGAAACATCCCATTCAAAGACCAGCCCTGACCTCTTCCCTCTGCCCATGTTGAATGAAAATGTTGGATTTTGCCTCATTTAATTCATTTAAAAGAGCTGAGAACCAAATAGTAGACCCTTGATTTTGAAAGCACAACTATGATGATATCATAATATTGACTATATCCGACTGCTTGCCTATTATAGGAGGTTTGTAAACATGTGTTTGTCAACATGTTAACTATAACTACAAGGTGGTTAATAGCTTCCTTGTCTAAAACCCAAACCCCCCTGGTCCTAACCCAGTATTACATGACTATCAAGTCTCACACATAGGAGACATGTATGTTGACTCTGTGAAACTGCCTTATCCTATTATGTGAGACACTACTTTCTTATGTTTACCTCTGATACTACTTTCCTATTCAAATAGTTGAGATATATAACTTCAATATTTCAGCTATATAAAAATATCCATTTAATAGGATAGATGCTGCAGTGGGAAGATAGAAACTACATAAATTGTTTTATTTTAAATGTCAGTTTCTAAGAATATTTTAATACATTAAAATATAATATAATTAAATGAGAATACAGTTTTTATTATCATATTTATATATGCAAGCATTACTAATGATCATTTTTAATGGAATATTCAGTTTCATTTAGAAACTCCTTTATAATTTTTACATGATGGAAAATTTCATTTAATAAATCTGGTGTTTAGAAAAGAGTTAGTTATATTGTTCTTTTGTAATCTGGGCTTCCTGTTGTTTAAACAAAGATGCCATGCAATGCAAAAAGGCTAAAGATGCTATGTGCTGATAAGACACCCAAACATGAAGTGCCTTTTGGGCTGTTGATTGCATTTTTTAGATGTTATCATTTATTTTTGCTTACTATATCAGTATTTAGCAATCAATAGCTGGGCATGTTAATAGTGCTGATTTTAAAATACAGGAAGTGAATTTGCAACATAAAATACTCAAGTGTTTTTCTTTTATCTTTTATCTTCACTGTCATAAAAGTTAGTAAGAAAATAAAATCAAGAAGGCATGTATCTCCATTTATGAAATAGGCACAAAATAAATTAATGTATTAGCTAATGTAATAAATTTTACTCCATTGTGAAGCTGATATTAATTAATAAGATCGAACATTAGCTTTGCTACTTCCTAATCTGTTCCTTTACCTGTGTGTATTGTGTTGAAAATAGCAAGCAACTCAGTTTTATAATACATAGAGAGGAATAACTTTGAGCATTCCTCAATGCTCAGAGTACCTTTAATAAAGTAGAAATACGTGAGTGCAAACATACAAGATGTCCATATATTAAATTAATAAAATCATATCTCAAATGAGTTTTTGATGAACATGAAATATGTTACCTTACCTGCTTCTTTTCAAAATTTAACTCCATTGGCATATTTTACAGGGTAATAATTTTTTCTTTTGTACATTGGCCTCAAGTACATTATGTTTAGGGGACAGCAATTTAATTTATTGAGTATTAACTAGAGTCAGAATATAATATAAGAAGTTTATGTTCATATATAGCATTAAAAAGTATATACTTTGAAAGAAAAAGTATATACTTTGAAATAATTAATATTTAAAATTGGATTATGACAGAAATTGAGTTCTCTCATACTGCTCCATGTCTGAAAAGCGTGCTATGTGCATACAGTAACACCAGGTTCCTACTGCTGTAGATGACGTCATGGGCTGCGAACAACAAGTTCAACAGTTTGAACACAGTAGTTGCTCCATGAAAAAAAAACGAGGCTTTCTATTCCCATAAAGATTTACACCCTGTGACTTCTCCACCTTTTGGCTAAAATAAAGTGAAGATTTACACCCTTAGAAACCCACAAGTTCAGGTCTACTCTCTTATTGCCTACTCATTATGAATGAGTGGGGTTTATGATTTACCATTAATTTTTAAAGTTTTCATAGTTGTTGCCATCATCATTCTCAAAACATTTGTACAAATGGGCTTGACACAATGGATGGATGGATGGATTGTGAAAAGAGTTGTACAAGCCCCCAATAAAATTATTTTTAAAGTATTCATATTTATCATTATTAACAATGTACTTATATAAATAAAATTAAAATCTGGTCTTCTTTGGGATAAAAAAAGCATTATTGACTTTTTAAGAAACAGTAGGCTTATACATATAAAGAATAAAATGGCAAATGTCTTTGGAAAGTAGATTGTCCCAAACAAAAGAACACATCAGTTCTAAAGGTCAAGACAGCCTTTGCATACCTTTTCTTGGTAACAGATTCTGTGCTTATAGGCTTAATCATTTTCTTTTGATAATATTCATAAAATAAAAGGTAATAAGATTTATGCTTTAATATCACATACCTGGAATTTGACAAAGGCCTTAATCTTTAATAATCCCACTCTGATATGATACTTAATTACAGAATAAAACAATTTAGCATACTTCGTCACTTATCTATGCTTGATCTTTTTTATTGAGGTTAGATACAAACGTAACAAAGGGAGGCATTAGAATAATGGAGGGCATGGTCTAGATGGAGCAGGATGGGAACTAGGTCCAGTGTGCTAGTTGGAAACATCAAAATTCACAATAAAATAAAAATATTGATTAAGTTAAATATTACATGCAGTACTGATTAAAAGACTGCCTCATGCAATCCTTGATGAATATTGGCTATCATTATTGATAGTGGAAAAGGATGCAAAAAATAACAGTATTTTCTGTTCTATCCAGTGCAAGACATATGCGTGTGTGTTAGAAAGTCATCTAATGGGACTCACTATTGACTTCAGCACAGGATTCATCTGCTTTGATGCTGCAACAAAGGTAAATGCTCTATGAACATTCTACAGACATTCAACTCAAAATTGATGGACGTCTCTTCTAATAACCCTTTTTAGCATTTACCTTGGGTTTTGAATCCCTGTATTCATAAATAAAACATGAGTACTTTGATTTATAAAAGAAAAACCTTATAGATTATAAAATATATAGAAAATGCTCATTATTAAGCTAATGGTATACATTCACTTTTTCATGATTATGGAAAACTTTTCTCAGGAAATATTTTCTGCTGACAAAAGAAAAATTTTGAAAGTAATCCTTTAGGATTTTTTTGTGTGCATAGCATCTGCAAGATAAAAGCAGGAAAATATATGCTTTACTTTTTACAGATAATATGTCAGAATCATATAACAAAAGTATTAGGGGTATTAAAATTGAATTTAAAAGTTTCTACAAAATAAAAAAGGTTTCTTATTTAAAATTAAAAGGTTTGCAAATTGAGAAATTCCAAAAGAAAAGTTGAAAATTGTATTTCAAAGACACATATACTAAATGCTATAGAACTTCCTATGATGGTACATTTTCTTGAAACACATTCAGTATGCTCTCATTAATCTTACTTAGCAAGAATTTAAAAGGTCAACCCGAGTTGGGAGTTGAGCCTCCTTTAAGAACTTAGTTCTTTTAACATACATAATCCATAGCATACAAAGAGAGATGACGGTACGGTTGCAAGCATTGAAACAGTCATTTCATACAGCATTTAAAAGGCCTACAAAATTTATACAGCAATCAAAATAATTAAACCGGTGTCAGGGATTGACTTGTGTCCCCTAAAACATATGTCCTCTTGTTTGGGCCATGGTTCTCAGTGTTTTAGCACTTGCGATTATGTAATGACATATGCTATTATGCAATGTGGTAGATATGTTATGGTTTGATCAACAATTGCTGGGTACCCGCTGGTGACTTAGGAGCCAGCCTCAAAACATGGAATTTGATGGAGCCCATATTGAATTGGTTGCAGACTTCTGCCTGTGTTGAGGCTAGACTGGTGTAGAATTGCCAGCCCTCCCTCAACTACCTACATTCTGCAGCAGGGGTGCAGTGATAACTCTGCATTCAGGTCAAACATGAAACACAAATAATACCATGTCTCAGAGGCAGCCGACGATCTCAGCACACTTGTGGAAATGGGAGAAAGCAGCATACTTAACTACATGTCACGCAGATGTGAGTACGGAGGAGAAGAGGTCCACTAACCATCCCAAGATGGAAATCTTGGTCTCCAGTTACTTTAAGTGACTGGGGGGAAATGGTATATAAAGGGGGGACACATAATTCAAGAATTCAAATGTGCCTTGAATGAACATGACAACAAAATAAATGAAAAATAGAAATAATACAATTCAAAACAAAAACACAAAGGGCAAAGTCCAAACTATTAGAACTCGACAACATTGTGAAAGAACAAAGCAATAAGATACACATGTTGGAATCAAGAATCAGTGATCTTGGAAATGAATCTCTCCAGAACAAAAGATAAGAAGACCAGGTTATAAAAACAACCCAAAGAATGGAAGATAATTTAAGAATACTGTGGGACACCATCAAAAGGAATAACATACCTCTGATAAATGTCCCAGAACAGAAAGAAGAAATAACTACTGAGAAACTGGTGGATTAAATATGAAATATTAAGGGAGAACTTGCCTACCATCATGGAAGAACATAAAATAACTATGCAAATAGTCCATAGGATGTCAAATAGAATTGGACCTGAAAAGAAATTGCCTCGACATAAAATAACCAAGCTTTCTAAACGTAATGGTAAGGAAAAATTCCTGAAAGGTGCATGGAAAAAAGGACAATCAGAAAGGACAAGTGTGTGGGATAAGTTCAGATTCTTCCACTGAAACCATTCAGGCAAGATGGTAATGGAATAGTATGTTTAAAATTCTGAAAGAAAAACAGTGATCAACCAAGAACCCTATATCTAGTGAAATTATTTATCAAATACTAAGGAGAAATAAAAAACATTTACAGTCAAGGAAAAACTACAGGAATTAATATAATATCTATAAGAGCTCCCGATAAAATGGTTAGTTAATAAAAAATAATAATACAAATAAATACAAATCTGTGAAAAAATAGTTAAATGAATTTAACTGACACAAAGTCTATAATAATAATAGACAGAAACTTAAAAACATTATAAAAGAAACTATTATGGAGAAAGTAAATGGAACTACATAAATAAAAACAAGGAATCATAGACAAAAATCTGCTAGAAGATAAAAAATATATAAGAGCAGAGCAGAGGGAACAGTAGGCAATAAATACCCACCCCAAAAAAGAACATATAGAACTATGCAATATAGTAAAATAAAATATACATATAATACAAAAATATAGTACAAAATAGTTCAACAATAAATATAGTACAAAAAGATATAGAACTGTTCAAAGTAGTACGATAAACTACTCTGAAATTGGAACAAAAAATCACAAACACAACCTACTAACAACATTAAAACATCAACAGAACAAACAATGTAAACCATATATACAGGACAAAAAATAAAAGAAAAAGAAAAAAGCAAAGAGAGTAATAAGAAGACAGCCAGAAAAACAGCAGGAACACAAAACAACAAATCATCACGAAACCAAAATCAATAACACCCGTAAAAATATAACAAAATGACATCAATAAACTACATTTATCTAGATCAACACTGAATGTAAATGGACTAAATTCTCCAGTTAGAAAACAAGAACTAACAGAATGGGTAAAAAAACCTCATAAACTGTTACTATACTGCTTATAAGGATTGCACCTTAAATGTAAAAGTAAACATAGGCTAAAAATCAAAGGATGGAAGAAAAGATGCCAAGCTAAGAACCGTCAGAAGAAAACTGGACTAGCAATATTAATCTCATACAAAATAGACATCAAAGTGAATGACATAATAAGAGACAAAGAAGGTCACTATGTAATTATGAAAGCTTTGATTAAACAAGAGACCATAACCATAATCAATATACACACAGGAAATGAAGGATTATCAAAATATATTAATCAAATTCTTATAGAAATGAAGAGACAAATAAATCATATTACAATAATACTAAGGAGACTTCAATACATCATTCTCAACTAAAAATTGATGAACTAGAAAGAATATCAACAAAAATGTTAACTAACACAATCAACTGGACCTCATAGATATATATAGAATACTTTGCCCAACAAAAATTCATATTACTTTCTTTTCTAGTGCCCAGGAATGCTATTCTAGAACAGGCCATATTTTAGGTCATAAAGTAAGCATCAATAAATTCAAAAACATTGAGATAATAAAAACCACCTTTTAAGATGATAAGGCTGGAAAGTTAAAACTCAACACTAGAATGATCAACTTTCAAAACCAAATGCATGGAAATTGAATAATATTCTAATCAAGAACAAGAGGGTAAATGAAGAAATAAAGAACACAACCAAGATTCCTTGAGACAAATGAGAATGAAAATATCATATAAAAACCTTTGGGACATATAAATTTCCTCTAGTTCTTAAATGCTTCCTCCCCCCCCCACCCCCCATCATGATCCCAAGTCTGCCTTGCAAATCTGGCTAGACCAGAGCATGTACATTGGTACAGATAGCAACTGGAAACACAGGGAATCCAGGACAGATGACTCCTTCAGGACCAGTGGTGAGAGGGGCAAGGCCTGGAGGGTGAAGGGAATGTGGGGTAGAAAGGGGGAACCAATTACAAGAATCTAGGTATAGCCTCCTCCCTGGGGGATGGACAGCAGAGAAGAGGGCAGAGGGAGATGTCAGACAGTGTAAATTATGACAAAACTATAATAATTTATGGATTATGAAGGGTTTATGAGGGAGGGGGTAGTCGGGAGGGAGGGGGAAAATGAGCAACTGATATTAAGGGCTAAAGTAGAAGGCAAATGTTTTGAGAATGATGAGGACAACAAATATGCATATGTGCTTGACACAATAGATGTATGTATGGACTGTGATAACAATTGTATGAGCCCCCAATAAAATAATTAAAAAAATAAAACACCTTTGGGACACAGAAAAACAATACTCCGAGGGCAGTATATGCATTATATGCCTGCACCAATAAAACAGAAAGTTTTAAACAAATACCTTCACACATCAGCTACACAATTGGGGAAAATGCAGCAAAAAACAAAACAAAACATCAGATACTAGAAGAAAAGAAATAAGGATTACGTCAGAAATAAATGAATCAGAAAATAAAAAGAATTATAGAAGAAATCAATGAGAAAAGAAGTTCGTTCTTTGAAAAGATTAACATTGATTTTGGCAAACCCAACAAAATAAAAAACAAATTCTATGAGTAAGAAAAGAAATGGATGATATCGCAACAGAACTACATGAGAAAAAACATCTGGTCACACAGTATTATGAAAAATTGTATTCCAATGAATTTGAAAATGTAGAAGAAATGAATAAATTCTGAGGAATTCTTTATTTACCTAAATTACCACAGAATGATGTCGAACATCTCAACAAGTCTATAACACAGGAAGAAATAGATCTAGTTATTTGAAAAACACACCTTCCCAAAATTAAAAGGTTTGGGTCCAGATGGTCTCACTTAAGTGTCCTGGATCAAACATTACAGGACACTTAATACCAATTTGATATAAACTATTCCACAATATACTACCAAACTCATTTTATGAAGCAACTATAACTGATACCTAAACCAGGGTCAGAAATCGCCAGAATCAAAAATAACAAACTAATAAGTCTAATAAATATAGAAGCCAAGATCTTCAATGAAATCCTAGCCAACATAATTTAACAAGCATTAAAATACACCATGATAAAGTAGGATACGTACCAAATATGCAAGAGTGGTATAATATTAGAAAAACAATCAATGTAATTCATCACATAAACAAAATAAAGGAGAAGAAACATGACTATATCAATTGATGCACAAAAGACATTTGATAAAATTCAATATTCATTATTGATAAAAACACTT